GGGATCCCCGTAAAGAACCTTACGAGGATCGAGCTGGCCGCTGCAGTAGCTTGATGAGACGATAGAGAGTTCTTGTCTTCCTTTCCACTCTTCACGAGGCTTCAACAATATCGGGGTTTCTATAGCACCAGAATCTACACAAAGCATTGTTGTGTAATCCTCATCTCCCATATCCGCAATACTCTTGGCCTTCTTGTCCCACGGGTTCCACACAACTGCAACATAAATCCATAACAGACATATTTAGTTTTTGCCCATTCAACCACATGCTACGTCAAAGAAAACTCTACACACCTGCATTTGGCATTCCTTCCTTTCGCAACTCGATAGTTCTCTTTCTCTCGTGATCTATGATGGCAATCTTTGTCGGTGTGTTCAAGTACACTCTATCAATCTGCAAGGAAAGCACACAGTACGTTGAGTTTCTGTCTGTTTAGAAGTTTAAGCAGAAAGCAAAGGATTGGATCACCTACCTCACCGTCAAAGGTAATTGCATCTGCCTGTTCGGTGAATCGTTCTCTATGCATCAAGTTATCCAGATAATCAAGTGTCTCCAGACCCTCAACCCGAACTTCACTGCAAATTTGATGTCATGTGATGTTAATTAACCAAAAGGTTTTTAAAAAGTCTCTTAAGCATCTTATTGACGAAAAATTTGATTAGAGTAAGGGAGAGAAACAATAGATTTGATCATGAATCTTGATGATGCTTTAAATGAACCCACACATAAATAGAAGAACGGAGGCATACCTTATGTCTGATACATATAAGTAGTTACGAAGTGAAAACATAAAGGAGAATGCCTTCGAGTCTGTGTTCCTCACACGCGGGGTAATAGTAAGTTTGCCAGGACTGATAGATATGCGAACACGAAGTTCAAAGCTGCAACAAAGTAAGCAACAGCGAATTGTATATTAAGCCACAAGATAATGACATTGAAATGTACTAACAGAAATATCAACTATACACACCTATGTGGCCATGTCTTAAAATCATCCTCAGTAGACTTCAATATTAAATCGACAGATGATTGTTGGTTAACAGGAGGCAGAGGCGCAGGATCGTTATCAAATGACCAGAGTCTGTTCCTGGCAAATCCATGTCGCTCAAGTGCACCGAAATTTCCAAACTGCAAATACAATATAGTATACTTAATGGCAGCATGAGAAGACAGCATAACATTACTCAGTCTCTCTTAAAATGATTTCAGATGCCTAACCTGTGGGAAACAGACAGGTAACCCTCCCCTGATCGCCTTAGGTGGCTTCAATTGCGCCTAAATGAAAACAAAGTGGTTATGAAAACAGGGTTACTGAAAGTTGAAACGTCTGCAACGGGCAGTAGTTTCATATTCATTAACTCATTCTTCTACTCCAAAAGCACAATTTACAGATTATCTGATACATGCTGGAAAAAGAAAGCTAGCTAACAAGCAGAACTGATTCATCATTCATCACTACGAACATATCAAAGTTTATAGATAAAGATAAGAAGACGGAAAAACAAAGATTGATCCAATCCAAGTTAACATCTAGATGATTAGTTTTTCAGTTTACCTTGCTACTCATATAGAGCAACTGCTCCCTCCTTTCATTTTTCCAAGAAACCACTTGTCCTCCATAGAGAAGCACCTGAAACCATTTCCAATCATGACAACCTTTTTTACAGAGTTTTCTTAAGTTGATTCTTTGAACACTCAAACATCAAAATCAGGACAAAAGTTGAATAAGACAAAGGGAAGAAAGAGTCAAAACCTCAGCAGTTGATCCGGCAGGGTCGGTCAAAATAATCCGAGAGGATCCATCACGATCATTGACTACATTCAAAGGCATTGATTTTGGCCTTAACCGCGATCTTATTCCCCTCACGAATGGGTTCCCTTTCACTTTATTCCACTCCAGCTACACCCAAAACGCAGATGCATGCATATAATCAATCCCAAAATTATATTCTTATATAACAACAACACAAACCCTTTAATCAAAACTAATCAATGATTCGCATATCAAAATCAAATCCGCAAAATAAGTTGGGGAAATCGAGAAATGAAGAGACTAGATAAGATTGATGTATACAGGGATTTAGATTCCGGAGAATCTCTAAGGACTGAAACGTAGTAGATAAAGCTCGGTGATCGGCTGAAATTTCAACAACCACCACCGGAACTATTAACACGTTTCGTAAACGACGGGGAAAGAGAAGATTG